TATTGCAAGCTATAATGCAGTGTTCAGGGAGCCGACTGAGTTACTCTGACTAGGCACCTTGTCAATCCAAGTAGTAGTGTACAAACTCAGTAAATTAAAAAGTGAAAGTAAATTCATAAAAATTAAATATTTCAGGAAATCAATGTATAAACATGTTCCTATATGATTTTGACGATTTTGATGATCATTTGTGAACTATGTTATCATTTGGTCCATTTTTATATTTCGCCCTTTTTGGAATTTTCTGAAATATTTCAAGCTATAATAAGTTTGTTTCCAAATTCCACTTTCCATATTTTTTTCCATTTGGTTTGGTTTTTAATATTTTTTTAAGAACTTTATGTCCCCCCCCCCCATCCCTTGCACCCCCCAAATTTATGGCCTTCTTTTTTCTTTTTCATTTTTTTTTTCCTAAATTTATAGCCTTTTTAGGAATGTAAACTACTCAGGGAGTCCACTCAGACTCACCCAAGTATCTCGCTCGGGTCGGGGCTGAGTCCGAGGCCTGAGAAAGCTTTCAAAACATTGCTATAATATATATTATTGTGTATGTGTTGGATCGGATTCTCGTATCTCTATATATGTCTTGGATTTCGAGAAACACTAAGTTATATTTTCGTTCTCCATATATGTATTTGTTCCAATATTTGGGCATGTTACACCATTTTGCTATACCAAACAAAGAAGCAATAATAAAGAGAAGAAGAATAGCTTTCCTCGTTATCCAATGATAATGTGGGATAAATCTGTCAATTGAGGAGAAAAGGCTTTTAAGGCTCTTAGAGTAACCTGAACTTCATAGGATACTTATACTAACTTCTTAAGACCCTTAAAAAAAAAAGGGGAAAAAAACAATATCCTGAAGAGTTGCGTCAGGTGAGAGGGCAAAGTTCCCAAGTAAATCATGAGGGCCACACATAGTCAACCCTAGGAAGACTAGTTTACTCATGGAGGGTGTATGACTAGGTGATTGATTATCTCATCAGTTCCATGGACATAAAGTAGTAATTGTGAAACTGAATTTATGTGTGCTGAAGATGGCTACCGGTGAGTGCATCACCTTCAGCAAAACAACGCTTTAAAAGTGGACAGTTTGGTGGCATGGAGATACCACAAACCAATTGCCCTGGATACGTGAATGTCAATTAACATGAGAGACATACCAAAGGATTTGATGGAGAAGCCTCAAGTTACCTCATATATCCGTACTAAGCGGTCAACTTAAACTAGGAATACCATGAGCCTACAGAAATCCACAAGATGAGTGAGGTTTCTAGCGAAAGTCAGGCTCCAAACTACTCTATTTCCAAAAAAGGAAGTAAGAGTTATGTACAAAAGCAGATTTGTTCAGAGGCAAGCATCCAAATTTCAGGAAACTTTCATGCGAACAGTCCCATCACACTAATTTTCTCAACAGGTTACCAACTCTGAATATGATAACATTGTTTAAAGACTAGTCTGAGAATGGGGCTCTTGGCTAGTTGGTTATGGTGGTGAAACCACAGTGTACTGTCAAGAGTTCAAATCCT